ACAAGCACTTTCTGCTGATTGAGAAATCATTGAAAATGCTGGAATTTCCGTCTCTGCTTCTGAGCTAGAAACATGCACGACTTCGGCCATAGCTGAGAGTGTGGGGTGGCCGAAAGTGTTTATGACGCTAAGATCCAGCCCATCCTCCCTACAGACAGTAACGAGTTTCATTGCCGCCAAAGAGTCTCCACCCAGTGCAAAGAAGTTGTCATCGATTCGAATAGATTCTGCATCGAGCTTTAATATATGACCCCAGGCCTGACGCAAACGCTTCTCAAGATCAGTTAAATCTCGAGTACTGGCTTTGGTTGTTTCTTCATTCACGTCCCGCAAATCCACTGTGGTACCAAATAGCCTCAGTCGTTTACGGTCAATCTTGCTTGAGATCAGAACGGGAATGTAATTGACTGGTATACATGCGGTTGGTATCATATATCGCGGCAAAACCTTGGTTAATTCTGACGTGGCTTTCGAGAGCGCTTGACTTAGCTCTTCGGAAGGCTGAATTGACGTTATTTCAGTACCCTCCTGTCCCTTCTTTTGTTGTGGTCCAATGAAAGCGACCAATGTGGGTTGTCCTCCAAGTCCCTGGGGTGTAATCACCTCAGCAATTGCGCTGATCTCCGATGGTAGTCTAGCCATCAGCTGACTTTCAATCTCACCAAGCTCAACACGCTGTCCGCGCAACTTGACTTGTGTGTCTTTCCTCCCAACGAAAAGAATACCTCCAGAGCCGTCGGGATCATATTTTCCAAGATCTCCCGATTTGTATAGACGCCCTTGACGACCAGCATACCCACTATGACCTGCAGCAAGCCATGATGGGTTCTCGATGAAAGATGCAGCAGTTTTCGCGGGATCGTTCAAATAGCCTTGCCCTACGATAGGTCCCTCGATAAGTAATTCGCCGACAGCACCCACAGGCATTAGCTGTTCGTGGTTGTCAGGATGAGTAATCCAGATAGCAGCCCCATTTCCTTCTCCAATAGAAACATAATTTCTACCGGTAGCTGTGTCGCTGTTTATTGTGCATCCGATGGTACACTCGCAAGGGCCATAGCCTATTACAATTCTCGTATATTGACCCCAAGTATTGACATCTCTCACTGATGATGCCTCTCCTCCAAGACCCAAGGCGTGGAGCGATTTTATGATATCCGTGTCCAAAATTCGAGCAACTGAAGGGGTTAAGCCTGCGTAATTGACCTGCATTTTCCGCATCACTCCGTTTATGTCGTTCAGTCGATCTTCATCTGATGGAATACAAAGACATCCGCCATTTCCAAGAGTCAGTAGCATACTGTCAATGCTGACATCGAAAGCGTAAGCCGCGAAATCAAGAACTCTCGACTCCTCCGTATAGCCAACTGCTTTCGCTCGAGCAACAGCACTGCTTGTATAAGTCTCGTGTGAAAGCATGACTCCTTTCGGCGTACCCGTGCTGCCAGAAGTAAAGATTATGTACATTAAAGCAGATGGTGGCACGGCCTCTAGCGGTGGACTAGCAGGCGAATCTGAAGAGTTCGTAAATGTGTTCTCTTCTACTATCATAACCTTTCCATTTGGAACGATTAGTTTTGAGAAATCGTACTGGGCGCGAGAAGTCACTATCAATTTTGCATTTACTTGTTCAGCCATATTTTGAAGGCGCGCAAGCGGAAGCGTTGGGTCAGTCATCAACAAAGTTGCCCCAACTTTCATCACCGCGAGTACAGCTACTATTGTCCATCTCGATTTCTCAAAACACACAGGCAAGACGTCATGTAGCTTGACACCCATTTCTCTGAGAGAGCACGCCAGGAAAGTGGAATATTGATCGATCTGTGCATATGTTAAACTGCCATCCCAGGAATCAATTGCCACTTTAGCAGGTAATTTTTTTGCTTTTTCAGAGATCATATCGTGCATACAAGAGCTGTATGTTGGAGGTAGTTGGTAGTTCCACCGCCAAATTTCGTTCAGGTCACGTGTCGTTGGATGGAGACATTCTTCGATCGAAGCTTCGGGAGTTGAAATACACAATTTGATGGTATCGACTAGACTCTCGACGAAGTGTGTGACTGTAAATTCTAGTATGGTTTCGGTGTGCCATAGGGGTCGGATTTCGAGAAGATCGTTCGTGAAACGTAATTCGAGGTGGAGTACACCCTTTGCTCACTACCATTAGCGATTTGGCAACATAAACGGGTTATTTGCTCACTTCATCTATCGCTTCTTCAGACGTTTGGGATAAAGAGCTGGTGCTCATTAGAAGCGATACAGGACTCGAAATGGCAGCATCTTGACTTGATGCAACTTTCGTGATATGATGTGAAACTTCCGAAGTAACCTGCTGGACTTTATCTTGCGATGTCTTCATCACTTCGCCTAGCGAAAGGCGCCCCTTCACGGGCTCATACTCGAAACTATTCTCTCGAGTTTTGTACGCCCAGTCATAAGATATCTGGCTACCTTCGTCCTGTGTCTTTAAAAGCACGATGAGCCAGGATAAAAGTAAAATTTCTTCTCTCATGCCAGTTCTAGTGATGGCCTGATCACACGAAAGACCCTTGACGTTGAAAGCTCTAAAGCCTTCGCTGTCAGGCTGGCCAGGTAATAAGTCAACAAACCCATTTCCAGGTGAATGTTGACTTTGTAAATCATCAATATGTACAGAACCCATCCTGTCGGCAGCCAGAACCTATGGTCGTGGGGTTTTGGCGGTGATCTGAGATTTGAAGGGGAAAAGCTGGAATTCAGCCGTGTGTTCAATTCCGTTAAGCTTTGCACGGGTTGCACTTTATTGAGATATTATGTTTGATTCGAAATCGGAGCATTCGGATATTAAAGGTTATGATAGCATACCTCCTTCCTTTGAGAGTAAAGCAGCAAAGCCACTATCTCTGTTATTATCTTTGTGCTGGTCAGGATCAATATCCATATTGCGTTACGTGTGCGGGTGCGGCATGATAGTGCGACTTTGAGCATAGAAGCTCGCCAAACACGCAATCACCATGACTCAACTGAAAAGATCAGACCGGGAACAGTGACATCGTTTTAGCCTACAGTTAATGAAGCTGTTGGTTAGTGAGTTAATATAAGACATATAACATTTATCCTTGTTGTTTGACTAGATGAAATAATGGGACTTCTCCATTAGCTCGAGCCTAACTGTTTCCACTGGCGGATATCCCAGGATTAAATTTTCACCCCGCTGATCCCATGATTGCCATCGGATCTGATAAAAATCAGCTGCCAAGCTAGTATCAGAACCCACCGTACACGAATTGGATTTCAGATGACGTAAAAGATGAACCTGGTCTTCTTTCCTATAACACTTTATTAGTTTATTAGTTTATCAGATTGTGATGAGTTATGGGGTGCAAAAGATTATCAGATCTTTTTCAATCTCATCTGATAAGATAGTAGATTACCATCAATGACCTCGGGGGGCGGGACTCTTAGCAATACGGTTACGACTGTTCTAGCCGTCCCTGCTAGTACGGCTCTGGTATAGATTTTTGAGCGAAATAAATTAATAGATTGATTAGATATTTATCCATGTCATCTGATAAGATAATAATTACATGTATTTCTCCACTTTTACTTGGCTGTCTCCACTGCATACTTAAAATTTTCTCTCAACACATGAAAATAGACAGTTGCATCGGAGGAACCTGTCTCGTCTGCGTGTCTCGAGCCTATCTATACCAGTTTTCCTTTCTGAAATATCGCTACAGTATCCTGAATCGCCATCACACCGTCTCACAACTTTGAGTTTATCCACTTCGGTGGTCGTTTGTCCACATATGCTTGAATACCTTCGGCAAAATTAGGACTTTTAACCAGACGAGGATACCATTCATCAGCCAAAGTCGACACCGTTTCCTCTACACTTCCAGCTTCCCAGCCCAATCTAATACCCATACGACCAATGATCAACGCATCGGGACTGTTCTTACACATATCTTGAGCAACTTGAATAGCAAGATCAACAACATCCGTACCAGACTCTGCCACTCGAGTGATAAGTCCCCAATCACTCAAAGTCTGAGCACTTACTTTTCTACCGGTTAATACCAGATCCGAGGTGCGTTGCAAACCCAGGGTGCGAACTAGCCTCGGTAGACACCCCGCTACAGGGACGATCCCACGCTTCGCTTCGGGCAGAGAAAAGACGGCCGTGGAGGCAGCGACTACGACATCGCAATTGGTTATCATTTCGAAGCCCCCTCCCATGCATATGCCATTGACTGCAGCAATGATAGGCTTTTTGCCACTTCGACGTGGGAGTCCTGCAAGACCTGGTGCAGACATGTCATTGACAACCCCTGCTCTATTCATCTCGTTCCATTCTGTTCTCGCCGGTTTTGATTAGTTTTCGTGCCAAAAATATAATTCGATACTGAATAATGACTGAATATTGGATATCCCTAACCTTGTAAATCAGCTCCAGTGCAAAAGGCTCTCCCCACGCCGGTGATGATTCCAACCCATAGGCTTTCATCTTGATCAAAAAGCTCCCATACTTTTTGGATTTCCCGACTCGTGGCTTGATCGATACAATTGAGCTTCTCGGGTCTATTCAATGTGACCTGCACAATTCGTTCTTGAGGAAAAGAGACATTAAAATGTTTGAAATTCAAGGATCTTGATCTGAGAGACATGTTAACAGTGGGTCGATGTATAGTATGTCACTATTGCCAGCCACGCAAAATCTCATACAGGTAGAAAAGGATAATATTTTCGACTAATTCTACGAGCTTCCCGTCATGTAACTTTATAATATTTCATTGATCAGTGCGTCCATCATCTACCACCTAGCAGGCTCGAGGCAGGTAAATGTATGTATGGATAGTGCGTTCTTAATTTCTTGTTTAGTATATTTTCCCAGAAAGCTTTATCTCGCTTCGACATCCCTGAGACTGAGACTCCATTTGAAGCACAATCGAATTGGCTCGCGATTGTGAGTTTGCGGTATCGGAACATCGGCTTGAGAAAGGTATGGATGCAGTTGTAACTTAGTAATAGTTACTACACGAAGTAATGTGTAGCGTTGCAATTACCCTGCTCGGTCCGAGTATCTCCTGTTATTTGTGTGGAAGTGGGGTATGTATGAGGTACATACCAAGGTAGGTAGATCAGCGACATTGTGTTTGTCTTGTCCCGGCATTAAATCCATAACAAATCTAGAGCGTTTCTCTAATTTGCTAGACCGATATTTCGTAGAAGTCAAAAAGTCAGGAATTTGCCTTGGTCCAATCCTCATGAATGGTGTTACACTATCCTTGATGAAAATCATTATTGCCGATGTAAATAAAACAGCTGTATGTACTCGTATAGATGACATTGTATTTTTTAGTGTCTTATTTGTGTTCAAACTCTCTCAATAAACCGCCGTGACAGTATCGTGTTTCTACATTTTTGATAAATTTCACATCATAACCTTTGCGAGGATGGCACCACACAAATACCCTCTGGTAAAATTACCACATCCTTTTTTGACTACATATCGAGTAAATACCAACACGGAAACAACACCAGCTAAACATACTTTGACATTGGATAGTCAGCAACCCACATCTGGAAAGTCTTTACCTCAACCACTACATTCCGATTCTCTTTCATGGCTTGATTTGGTGACCAGGCGTGAAGATGAGTGCCCCCCTCTATCTGACAATACCGCCTGGGGAAGAGCATGTCGAAGCCCACAAACCACGTTCGAATGGACAGGAAATGTTGCTCCTACATTGGGACAAATCTGGAATGTTGTTCACGCAATATATCTCGCCCATCCAACAATAGAGTATTTCCGATTGACCTTGAGTGGCGCCGAGAAGGAGGTCATCCGAAGCGAGTTGCTATCCACTGGGTTGGGAATTGAACACCCAAAACCATGGCGTTTCTCAAGCGCAGCAAAAACCGCATCGCCCACCGAAGAATTGTTAATTCTCCGAGGTGCATTCTGGCAAGGAGCTGCCTCACCACTTGGCCCTCGCCCTATCTGGGTAATTGGAGATGGTACCGATGGGCCAGTCCGAGGATCTCTAGCCCAATATCCAGTCATGCCCGAGAACTACCAACTCACCATGAAATTTCCCGAAGAAGCCGTTTACACTCACCACCCAACACGCCGTCCTAAGCCACACCCAGGATCCATTTGCTACAGTCGCTATATTCCCGAATTGGACGAGCATTTCTCTCTCGAAGTGGTTGATTGGCAAAACGATGCGCATTTGAAGACCTTCAACACGTGGCAAAATGATCCTCGCGTTGCTAAGGGCTGGAACGAAACTGGAACATTGGACCAGCATCGTGAGTATCTACGCAAGTTGAACTTTGATCCTCACGTGCTGTGTCTATTTGGACGCTTCAACGATACCCGATTCTCCTATTTTGAGCTCTACTGGGCGAAAGTAAGTTGACATCTCCTTCTATAACCCGTTTTCTACGTCATTCCATTCATACTGACATGTTATCATAGGAGGATCACTATGGTGCTCACTATAATGCTGGAGATTATGATCGCGGACGCCACTCTCTCGTTGGTGATGCTTCGTTCCGTGGCCCACAGCGTGTTAACGCCTGGTATTCAAGCTGTATCCACTATGTATTTCTCGACGATCCACGAACTGTGAATGCAGTTGGTGAGCCCAAAGCAACAGGTGGTACCATCTTGTCTTACGAGAATGCCCAAGGTCTTACCATTGGAAAGTATGTTGATCTGGGACACAAACGATCAGTCCATTCAATCTGTAGCCGGGAGAAATGGTTCCAGCTATGTCCTCTGTTCTGGGATGGAAGAAAACAGCCATTGGAATCTGCAGATCGAGCAGCGTGGAATTCGATTTATGCCCCGAAGTTGTAAGATTGAATGGCTAAGATGTGCTATTGAGATGGGAATGATATGTATATATTAGTTGTCGGTGATGTGAAAATTGGGTTCAAAAGCGAGCGCACTATGTAATTTCAATAATAAAAGCGAGGTCAATTTGTTAGTCTATTAACAGAAGGTTATCCAACAACAGGAGAAACATTGAGTGATGCTACAATCATTGCATTGATACTTTATTTCATTCTCAAACAGAAAAGAAGCCAATGTGAACCGCAAAATATATGACCGAAGACAATTTAGCAGATCAAGCCACATCTATTTAATCAAAATATCATCAGCAACTTCTATACCCACGTTCAGAATCCCAAGACCAGTGCACGACTTTTATGATAGCGGTCCAACAATCGATCCTAACATCGATCTTTATGTACTGCTTCTTCTACTTCCAACGAACGAAAAGCGTCATCAACCATATTTCCTGAGCTTTTACCCACAACACGGCGAATAAAAACACCCAAGACTGATTCCTACAATGCCGAAGCCCCTATTGCAATTGCAAGTGCCCACGTCATTATATTCTCCTAAACCGACGTCAGTTAGTCTCAGTGCACCTCTCCAAGCTAAAGCATATACGAAGGAAGACATACCATCCTACCAATTCCTCTCCTAGCCTCACTACTCACATCCTGCACCCTCGCCACTCCAGTGGGCTTCGCAGCCGCCGTTCCCGTAACAATCACCGTACTCCCCATCGTTCCACTCATTGTCAAATCTGCATTTCCTCCAAGCAATCCTCCATTTCTCACAGCGCCAGCAGTCTCTTCACTCTGCTGTGAGATTCCACTCGCAGCCGGAATCGTGCTCGTGCTGAGTATCCTCACCGTTGACGTTCCAAGAGTTGTCGCTCCTATTGCGGTCCCATTAACGATGCCATTGACGCGAGTTTCACAGTTTGCGTCAGAATCACACGTTGTGTTAACTTGCTGGATATTGGTGCTTCCGTGGCCGTCTGCAAAAGAGCTGGAGGATGATGAATATGAGGATGAGGATGATTTGCCATTGGTTATATCTGTTGAGGGAGCAAAGGAAGCCGTGTCAGGTATGGATGGGATGTTGATATCAGGAAATTTGATAGATTGAGCGTTTGTGAAAAGGGCGAGGAAAGGAGTGAGAATGGAGGGTTGAAACTGCATGACTGTAGCTATAAGTGATTGTCTGGTGGGTCAGTCAAAAGAAGAATACAACGAGCGACTGGAGCAAGTTGTTCTAACCGTCGTGTAATTTATAAACATTCTAGAAGAAGATTGTCATCTATGAGGATTAATCTCAATGGGGGGCAAAATTCCAGTGAACAGAAATGGTATGAAATTTGCCTGTGGAATGTAAAAATGTGCCCTTGGTGGCAATAACATTCTTGGAAGAGGTTGAATACCAATTAAAATAACGATCATAAAACGATAGCCAGGAACATAATCATCTGCTTCATACATAGTTCGTGCCAATTGGTGTCCAGTTTGAAGAAAGGCTACCTGATTTGGCGAATGAACACGTCGCATCAATTCTTGACTATATATCCAACCAGATTTGATGGACAAACGTTTATTATTATGGCAAACGACGAATCGCCTTGACAGTTATGCTGCGTAAGTATACATTTATATCCTCCAATTCGACTTCTAGTAGATCGCCAGCTTTGACATTCTCAATATCAAAAGTCTCAGATCCTACCAATTTTGCGGGGGCATCAAAAAAGTCCAGCTTGCCCCATGTGCTACTGTATGTAACATCTTCGCTAGCGATAAAGTTAAAGATAGGAGGAAGAGGATCCTCTTTAAATTGCCATGCGCGAATCAAAAAATGACATAGCCAGTGTCTAATAGAATCCCTGTTGCCTTGCTTAATCATTCTTTCGCGAGCATCAAGATGGGAAATGATGCGATCAAGCTCGGCTTTTGTGAATGGAAGGAAATCTTCCTTAGTGTTATTTTTAAGATCATGTCCTAAACGCGCTTCTTCCCGAAGTGCAGCTTGGACTTGCCAATGGAGTAACAAATCACCGTAGCGGCGCAGAGGGCTTGTACACTTTGCCATCATTTCGACGCCGACTGCCACATGCGGGCCTGGGATAGTGGATGGAAGTATTGTGCCAAGTAATCGAAAATATTGCAGAGCAATATCAACTGGAGGGTGGCCATGCTCGTCCAGTGAAGGTAATACGACTTCCCTATAGAATTCCAACGGATCTTTTTTGTTTGTGTTGCGAGGAGTGACACGATAAGGAATTGGAACCCCTCTATTGTAGCACCATCGCGCTGCGACCTCTGCGGCGATTAACATAAGTGGTGCAACTGCGTCTATTTTTGAACCCGGACTACTAGATTCTTCTTTCTGTAACTGAATTGTTCCCGCTGTGGGCGACACTGATACATTAACATTGGCAGAGCTCACGGAAACACCACCATGAGCTATACGTTGCTTGAGCCGAGCATCGCCAATCCTGTGTAGTATCCGAAGGTCTTCCTTGTGCTCGTCAGAAAGCTGATGGCTTGACAGCATAGTCCTCTTCTCCGAAGTATGGACGATAGGTGACCCAACAGTGCTGGAAGTAGAAGTGATATTGGAGTCTGTAGAATCACTTCCGGTAATAACTTCAGCAACTACCTTGGGTGTCATAAATTTTACATCTAAAAGGGTGCGTGGAGATACCATTGTATCCAGTATGTCACCATTTAAATTCATCTTGGCGCTAAACGTCAAAGAGGGACGGTTAGTGTCGAGACTGAGGTTATTTTGCACGAAATCAGACGGCAATAAGAAATACACTTCTTTTGGCGAATAGATGGTTTCAGTACGATCTGAAATCTCATCCGCAAACTCACCCTTTGCTTCTAATCTTGAGGCAGGATCGGCTGCGTGAACATGAACCCAATACTCGTTTGGTGTTTCAGTGCGTTCGATTGATACTCCATCATCAACTTCATGAGCATCTACAGAATCAATACAGTAAACCGGCAGATGGAACTCCTCTCGAAGAGCCGACATACTATCTTCAGAAGTAAAACTGTCTTTCTGAGGAATGTCGTTGCACCCGTGATTATGAACCCGGAGATCATAAGCTACCCGGTTCGTTGTGGGATAAATCTCACCAATTTCTTGCAAGAAAGTCCATGCAGTGCTTTGATCCAACTGGAATTCCTCGTATCGTGCTATGACTCGAAGAAGGATGGAGCCCGCTGAGTTTATTGTGGAGTTGCGATCAATGGTTCGGAAAGCCGCCCATGACTTCAAAAACTCTGTATATGGCGATGCCCCAACTTTGCGTGGAAATTTTATTTTCTCATCCGATGTAGTTAGAGGTACAATGGTACCATTGGTCGTGAGCTGACGCGATTTGCGACTTTCGTCTATAACCTCCTGACAATCTTTGACCCACTTAAGTAGTGAGCTCTTTTTGAGCATCGAATTCGTCTCCGAGGCCTTTTGATACTTGCGAACTTCATCGACAACGTACATAATATTCTTCACCTCTGCTTTGGAGCTAATTTCGTACTGCCCGCCAGTTCTAGTCGCTCCCCTCAATTGTGGTCGAAAACCGATTTCGTCGCGCATAAGAGAACGATGTAGGGCATACAATACAGGGTATGGATGTGAACCATTCTTGGCTTTTGAATTGCTTTGAGGAATGATTTCATTGGCTAGCTCAACTAATGTAGCATATCGGAAAGATTTATCTTTAGCAACGAGATTGTGAGCATGATCTAGATTGGAGAAAGTGCTCTGATAAAGCTCTTCGGATTCATCCCAGAACCTGTGCATCTTTTCCAACATAGGCTTGGTCGCTTCTCTAGGGACTTGTTGATCGAATTTGTGTATATCTGACCCATCCGATTGTTCAGGTTCCGGCAATAGTAGAAAGGGCCGAATGGTGTCCAGTTCATCGTTACTGACGAAGCCTGGTACATAAAAATGTGTAGATTTCATAGAGCCCTTAATCAAAGTACCGGACATTGTATAGAATTCGGCAAGTCTGCCGACATCGCGTATGTATATTGCAAGTTCCTGTCTTTGCTCTTTGCCACTAGTCGACTTATGTCAGTCCTGCATTTGAATTGTAATGGGGAGATATAGTAAGTAGACACACATAACTTCAACGAGATCCCCGGGAATCAAAAACCCGCGCCTACTTCCAACATCGACCAAATCATCAAATCTAACAGTAGAGATGTCATCATGCACTGCATCCTCTTCATCATCGATTTCGAACTTGGTATCTTGGATTCGACTGCTGGCATTGTCCAAACTTCCGGGTGAAGCATCGTCATTGATTGTGACAGGAATATATTGACTGGCGTGCTCTGCCTCCCACGCTTCTAGCCGCTTTCTAATCGGCACCAACCCTTCCTTCCGCTTGTACAAAACATTAGACGAACCGGGAAGTTTGCGATTTTGCGTCTCTATTTCGGCTCGGCTCTGAAAACTGAGTTAGAAAAGTGAATTTGATCAAATGAAAAGTGTTACTTGCTACATGGCCGGTGCTGAACGACTTCGTGCTTCGCCTTAATACTGTCTTTTGCCTCGATTGACCATTTCCATCTGGGGCTTGTGGCAGTTGTCGCCTTCCAGCTATTGCTCCGGAATGAAAGTTTGCGAGACACTTCCAGCATACGAATGGTCGCACATTCTTTCTTGAGAGCTGAGAAGTTCTCAACATAGTCTTCACACACTGTGACAATTGGCGTGCACTTATGTAGCCTTTTGGAAATGTGAGGTATTCGATCGGCAAAATTTCTCCGATTTATTGAGATAACGTTTTTACACGACGTTATCGCGTTCACACGTGAAATGATTAAAACCTGGCCCAAGCTCCCTCTAGAGCACAGTCTCAGTATTTATTTTCTACTTTTTCTTCTTCGCACGACATCAACTGGTAAATTTTTCCCACGAGCACTCAGTTCATTACACTGGCACAACAAGAACTGAAGCTCTTGCGCTATCATATTGAGGTAAGATATATTTCTATTTGTCTAGCATCACTCGGCAGCTTCTCTTTCTATTACAACACTACTTGTATGATGAACAAAAATTAGCATGTATTACCTGAAGATATATTGTTTCGACAATATTTCGCTGTGGTCTACACCAAGATCTCTGACTTTTCACAACTTCTTGCATATTCGTATTCTATTGTATCATGGCCTATGACTAATGATTGTTTCTCACAGATTTCTTGGAGAGCATGTCTGACTCCAAGGAAGGACAATTCACTGTTCTCTATTTTGCTACTGCTAGCTCATACACTTCAAAAGATTCCGAGACTTTTGCTGCCCCTCTCCCTGTTTCACGATTGTTCGAAACTTTAGAGGATCGCTACAATGGAATAAAAGACAATGTCTTGCGCAGTTGCCTAGTGACAATCAACTTAGAGTATGTTGATATCCCGGAGACAGGCTCTGATAGCACGGAAATAATCATCAAAGATGGGGATGAGGTAGCCATTATCCCGCCAGTGAGCTCTGGATAAGGGAGTGCCATTTGTGATATTCGATGATATTTATGCCTCATTTGAAAGCCTTGTGAAGTCTCTGTCTCGTTCTATTAGCATCTATAATTCACACACTTAATCTTACAAATATTATCCCCTTTACATGAACTCATGGTTGCTTTCGAATGCTTCAAGAGCTTGCCCTTTCACAATAATGGCATTGAAACAGCTTCGCTGTATGCATGATAATTGGGTGAAGATGTTGAGCGACGTGCTGGAGATACATGAAATCTCTCGCATTTCTCGCAGAACGTTGAGACACAGGAGAGATGTATTGCGAACGTTCTGTCTTCAACTATTGAAGGCCCAGGAAATCATCTCAACTGTTCTTGCGAAATCAGGAGTTGAATCATTCTGCAAGGTGTCTGGCAGATAGAGGGGTAACTGAGAGTTTGCATGGGAGAAGGCCATAGGAGGGGTTAAGATTGGAAGAGAGCGCGAGACCTCATAGGGCCAACATGCGTAGCGATCCTGAGAGGTAGAGAATCGGTGGAAGAACTATGAGACATTTTCTGAATCGGTTTGGAAGGGAGCGTAGTAGTGATATCACCAATATGATGTATTTAATAGACCTCTCTGGGGAAGAGAAAGATTGGCATATGAGATCCAGAAGGCGAAGAACTTTGCAATGTGAATGTGTAGAGGGAGACACTCAAATCCTTAATGAAGGGTCAGCCAAGAAAGGTCTCATAGGGCAGGAATCTGAAAGTGGGAAAAGGACACGAGAGAATGGGGAAAGAGCTATGAAGCCAATTGATTATTGAACTATGTATCCATAGCCCAGTGGATCACTTCATTCGAAGTACTTTGATCCAAACCTATTCTAATAATGGACGAGATTCTGGGAGATCATCTGCCTCAACCACTCCCGAGTCCTTCTTTTTCCAGAACTTCCTTGGATATTGCCTCGACAACTTCCACCACCTTTGGCTTCTTTCTCCAGGTCCCAAGCACTTCATTACCAGAAGGATAATGCCCAATGCCAAAAGTGTTCCATAAATTGATCCAAGAAATGTCAAAAATGTGATGCTGAGCCTCGATTAGTCTTGAAACACATGCGATCGACTTGAGCGCCACTTACGTTGAAACGTGACAACCTAGAGGTCTCGCTCTCAACTCCCATCGTTCAGACCAGAGAGGACAAATATTGCTGTTGAAAATAGGAGCGAGGATCTTCATAGGAGATGTGTTTGGGACGCAGGTAGAGGATACGGCACACCACGAGCAAGGGCCTACTGACAAACAATCCCAGCAGTCTTGATGACCCCAGCATTTATTGAGCAAATCATCTGGAGTTTGGTTCTCGTCGAATTCACTTGATGTGTTTGTGTCCATCATATATATACTCAGATGGCATTGGAGACCATCAGGTTCATCGACTAAAGGTAGTTTTGTGAGCTACCCCGCAACTAAAAGGCTTTGCGATTGAAAGGCAAAGGTTAAATAGAGAAGAGTAGGTAGCTTTTGATTATAAGGAAGTCTCATCCGACGATAAACTGTTCGTGAGAGGTTGACGTATTCTTGAATGTCTACCTAGTAGTTCCCCAGCCAGCAATAAGGGGGAAGAAACTGGATGAGATATAGTTGAGTAGGGTCGTACATTGCATACGCTCCAACTTCATAGGTACCAGTGTTGCTATGATTATTGTACTACGACTGTCAATGAATTATCACACACATTACCTCGTATGCAGAAATAGAATTTAATTCCTTTAAATCAAGATATATATAAAATTCTATACAGATTACATATAAAATAAGCCACAACTTGTATCTGAAAAGTCGTATGACAAACAATCCCTCCATACGTACACACATTAATAAATATCATTATCATTGTTATTGTTTGGTTTTGCTGCTTCCCCAGCTTTTCTCGCACCTCGAGCCTACTAGCGCTAAAATTTACAACAACGGATCTTTTGACCATCGCATCCACGGCATCACAACTCTCCGATCGGACAGTCGGCACGAAATCAACAATCGCAATGGAAAATAATCCTTTAAATCTGGGTCAAATTGATCCTCGACTTCGAGATGAATCTAACACAAATTCATTTGCGCAACCTCAACAGCACCCACATTCAGAAGCCCATCACCAACTTCATAATCTAAATACCCAACTTCCTGCAAGCGCACCTCGATTATCTGGTCCATCACCCACACAGCTTGCACAGCTACAACAGTATCATCAGCCTATTCACGATGGAGACCAATCTCAAATTTATATGCCTCAAACGCCCCAGTCGGCGACTCATACACAAGACGATGGACACATGCTGGGAGACGCGTCGGTTGATCCAAAGCGATCAAGAGCTTGCGAAGCTTGTCGAGGATTGAAAGTTAAATGCGAACCCGACATGATCAATTTCGATGGTCCTTGCAAACGGTGTACCAAAGCTAATCGGCAATGCGTCGTTACTGTACCAAGTCGAAAGAGACAGAAGAAAGCAGATAGCAGAGTTGCTGAGTTGGAGAAAAGGGTGGAAGCTTTAACAGCTACCTTGCAAGCAACGAAATCGGCATCCACACCAACAGTGCATGGTGCTGAATCTAGTCTTGAGGAGCAGGGCCAGCAATTTTCAGCAAGACAGAATCCATATGAGCAAGTTACAAATGGAGGTTTCGCGTCGCCTTACTCAGGCCCTGCTGAATCAAGAATGAACTCCAGCGACTGGTCCAACTACCCCAAAGCTTCTCAGCCCGAGAGTCAGGCATTATCTGCACCCCCAATGGTCATGGCAGGTCAGAAGAGGAAGCATACTGAGAGTCAAGATGGTACTCCACCTGACTCTTTCATGACTACTAATTTCATGGGACAGAAGACCCCCGACCCCAATGCGCACCAAGCATCATGGCATGCGCAACTAAAGCAAACCCCTTCACACGAATACGCAGATGTTGTAGATAGAGGATTGATAACGTCAGACATTGCTACCAAAATGTTCAATTGTTATGTTGAAAGAATGGCCCCCCATATGCCGGCCGTTGTCTTTCCTGCAGGTACCACTGCTTCAGAGATTCGCAAAACAAAGCCTATTTTATTCTTAGCTATTTTGAGCGCTAGCTCGGGTACAAATTTTCCAGCACTCCAAAAACAGTTGACGAAGGAAGTGATGAGTATCTATGCGGATCGCATCATTTGCAATGGCGAGAAGACATTGGAGCTTATACAAGCTCTTCTTGTCAGCACTCTCTGGTATTGGCCACCAGAACATTTTGAAGAGCTAAAATTCTATCAACTCATTCATATCGCGGCAGTCATGGCAATTGATATTGGAATGGGCAAGAAAGGAAAGAGTGGTAGGACTGATAAAATGAAGAGCGCAGGATTGTGGAGAGATCATCCGTGGCGCCGAACACCATACCCTGACCCCGAAACTTTTGAAGCAAGACGTACGTGGTTGGGTTGCTACTTTTTATGTTGTAATGCATCTATGGGCTTACGGCGACCAAATCTCATTCGTTGGTCCCCATTCATGGCAGAATCTGTTGATATACTTCAGAACTCGCCAGACGCAGCACCTACCGATAACATGTTATGTCAGTGGGTTCTCAGTCAGCGGATTGCCGAGGAAGTTGGAATATCGTTTTCAATGGATGACCCAAGTGCAAGCATTAGTATTGCCGACCCAAAGGTTCAGTATGCTCTTAAAGGCTTTGAACAAGAGCTTGATAAATGGAGCAAGTCCATACCTTCTGAGGTTCAAACACGTAAGTAGTAAACTACACTAATTAGACATTGATCACTGACAGTGTCGCATAGCATCTTTAACCTTGACGGAACACGTAATCAACCTTTATATGCATGAAGTCGCTATGCATGTGGATCACAACGTTGAAGAGTTCAAGCCACCATTTACTGAGGCAGCTTTACACGGCCCTGCAGAGAGCCCAGACGTCTTGACCGCTGCTCATATTTCCGCTCTTTCCTGTTGTTTGACATCCATTGATGGCATATTTGAAACTTTCCTGCAATTTGAAGTTGACGTCATTAGATGTCTCCCTGTTGCGCACTTCGTCAGAGTCGCTTATGCTGTCGTGGTTCTCATTAAGATGTATTTCGCGGCAGCTAACCCTAATGGTGAGTTGGGCAAGGTTTTCATCAAGGACAACATGAAAGTGGAGCACTATCTCGACGGTCTGGTTGAGGTGTTCCGTGCCTCTGCAGCAGATGAGAGATCTCGCCCCGCTGCGAAATTCTTGATGGTTCTCATAATGTTGAAAACCTGGTTCCATCGCCAACGAGAGGGCAAATCAACACCCACCCAAAATCCAGAGACCGGCGACTCTGCAAAACCTACCGGTGATAATTCTGGGGAAAGTGCGAACCAGACAGACCAAAATGCTCAACAAATGGGCTCACAACGCAGCGGAAAGCCAGGTTACAGTCCTGCCCCTGCGAACACACCCCTCCAGCTTCTTAGCGAAGTCGCAACCGGTAATTCCGGTGGTTCCCGCCCCGACAATCAGAATCAAGCTCAGAACCAAAACCAATACGCAGTCCAGCAAAATGACTGGTCAGCACAACAACAGCAGCCATATCCTCCCACCTACGACCCATCTCTCAACCCCATGAATGCTCAAATGCTTCAAGGCTACGGCGATATATCCGGAAATATAGATCCTTCTCTAGGCATGGATCTAGGCTTTGCAATGGGCGATGGCTTCGAACAAGCAATGGGCATTACGTTTGGCGTTGGCGATATTGGGAACTATTTCGGCGAGGATATTTTTGGTCAGTTTATGGGTGGCAATGTTCCGGGATTTGAAGGTGCATTATAGGAGTGCGGTTCCGCATGCAAGGGCTTTTGATAGCCCTTTTCTTCTCTTTTTTTCCTTTGGTTGGTAAGGGTGTGACTCTTGAAGATGAGAAGCAGAGTCCCATTTTTTTGTATTTATCACTATGACTTACTTCTACGGGTGGATATGGCACACAGAGACATTTCTTGAGTTTTTTTTTTGGAGGCAGGTAGCTAGCTAGCTATTTAGCTATTTAGTTTAATTAGTAGCCCTAGCATGTATACGTGTATGTGGGCGCGGGCGCAATATGATGGTTGAAATAAAAGTACTTTCTACACCATTTGTTGCATCGCTTGTCATTTGTTTACAGTCACTAACGCCAGCACCGATACCAGTACCATGACATGCTTATAGTAGTACTAGTGTAGTAACTTCTCAATGGTGTCAATCTACCTATACCTACCTACCTAGCTAAAATACCACCTCACACAAACACATACACATACACATACACAACCGAATCACAAAGAATATAATATCTCCATTCATCTATCTACGCCAGTATAGCAAGCAACGAGTCGTGAAGATTGGTATCCTTGTCTTATCCACATATCCGTATTTATATCCCTATCCCTATCCATATCCGTATCCCTATCCGACCCAACCTTCTATAAACGCCATGCCCCATAAAAAGTCGTTTCATCAATATAATGAATGAATGAATGTGCATGCTATATGGCAATAGCATGTTTATGATATATCCAGTATCCCGACGCCGTGAGAATATGTTTCCCTTGATTCCTGTGGGCGATATGAGTGGAGAAGAATGTTCGCTGCTGGGCTAACGTTGACCACATCCCATCTCTGATCTGCCATCATATCATTGTGTCGGACAACGCTTTAAATCTCGATATCTCACTTTCACAGCACTTTTGCTTTTGCTATTTCCCAAACATCCACACTTAATATCTCTCTCTCAATATCCATATTCGTCGTGCTGATGCATCGGACATCTTCCCGGATGTTTCTCAAACCATTTTCTGATACAACTCAAATGAAACCTACAGAAGCATTCCAATCGTCCCATTTCCAATCCCGGTTCGTATTCCTCCAAACAGATTTGACATTCCGCGTCGTCTTGACAATCTTTCTCCGTTGCAATATACGGAAATACTCCTGTGCGTCGAGGTTGAGAGGGGCCGGCTGAAGGGTTTGATGTAAGAGGGGGAGGTGCGGCTACTGTAGCAGAAGTAGAAGCGTGGGAGGAAGTTGACTGAGCAGATGATTGGGTGATAGGTGGCGCCGGACGTGTTGCTGACGGGACTGGCGGAGGAGGTGTAGAAGTCGGAGTACCGATAAACATTCTAGATGTGGCGCGATCGATACAGGACATGATATGATCGGAGCGAAGAGTTTCGGAATTAGCGAGAGCTCTAGAAGGGAGTTCATGATGACAAATGGGGCATTCATCTTCCTCTTGTATCTGAGGTGGTCGCGGCAAAGGACGGGTACGTAAATCTTCCGCCGACGGGATATATCGCCTGGCTGCTGTTGATACAGTAGCATTCGGTGGTGTCTGAACGCTAGCAGAAGGGCCTCGTACATTTCTGAGGAATGTAAACTATGATAAAGATTCAGCATTTGCTTTTTTTCGTGACAAATCAATAACTTACCATGTCTTCAGTTGTATCCCGCCCAGTTCCAGCAACAGTCGAGCTTCTTGAGCGCACACTTTGTCCAGAGCTCATACCAGCTCTCTCCCTGTACCAAGTCTGAAACTCTTCCGCTGTTCTAGGAGTGGGATTCATCCCGGATGGTGAATACCTATTAGAAGTTCTTTGATCACGAATTGTATGTGAACGGTGATCAGCAAGTCGAAATCGAGACTCCGCTGGTAGGCTTCCTGGAATAGTTGTAGAGGGAACGATAGAACTTCGTGTTCGGCCGTGATGCCCAATGTTGTATCGAGGTTCTGTGTTAGAACCTGTTTGGTTGGTTTGGGGTGGAGCTACGTTCGGATCAGGTACACAAGGGTTACACAGACGAACTCTATCACCTCCACCAAACTCTAAAGTATTTGTACGTCCTTCGCCCTGTGGATCATGGAGACGATTATAGGCTACAGAATTGTATGGAGACGGATGGTCTGGAGGTTGCACAATGTATTGATAGGGAATTGTGATTCGATGCGGGGAACAAGAATTGCAGACCACACGGCCGCATTTTCTACGAAAATTAACAAGGTGAATCAAAAATGCACTAGGTACAGTAAGAGGGGTCAATTCACATACCGACAGTGATGCTTTCTGTTTAGCCAACCAAACCAAGCATTACAAATAGGACATTGAATAACCTCCGAGTCCGACTGCCATCTAGGAACTACAACTTCGCTCCGTGCAGATTCTCGATCTCTCGTCTGCCTTTGTACAACAGTCGAGGGGGACCGAGATATAGTTGGCGTGCCATCATCATCCGAAGGTGAATTCGTAGGATTAGCCGAGCTTCTCGGCGACTGCTCCGCAAGAGAATTTGGGGAAGATGATGTACGTCTGCTCTTATTAGATTGAGTTGAGGTTCGCCTCGATGACGAAGATTGGTTTGAAGGTCTGCGATCGAGCCTAGATGACGTTGTATTTCGTCGAGAAGAACTAGACGAGCTCGGAACCCGATCTAGAGTAGTTGACATGTCTGCTTGATAACCAGCAGTAGAAACACTATGACCTAAGCTGTCTTCCCTCATAGGAGCTTTTCCGAGACTCGCGCTCTGTCTTCGTCTAACACTGCTAATTGAACTTCCCTCGCTAGAATTAGAGGCATCACTTCCCCGACTCATTCGAAGCGTCGCCTGGTCATCCATAGTTCCTTCAAAAGCTCCTATCTCTTCTTCTGTATCATTTTGTCGGCCGCTCACTAGGTTCAGCTGTGATGTAGTTCCGCCCTCAGATTCATCGCCTGGCTCAACCATAACATGACTATTGAAGTTATCTTCGGAAGAAGAAGGGCCCATAAATCCCAGCATGTGCGAGTCCTCCCCTGAGTCACTGCCTTCAGTATAGAAGTGAGACCGCGGAAAATGACTAGGACTCTTGAGTGGTCGATCCCCTGGTGTGAGAGGAGCAGAAGAATTGGAAGGGCCCCCAGCAGAAGTTACCCACTGGTCATTCATCATTCTAGGACTTTGATAACGATTTGATGGAATGGGATAGGTCGAAACAACAGGAAGCAGTTTTATAAAAGTTCGGGGCCGTATATAGCTTCGGATACTGTATTATGTGATTGTAAATATTGTTAAGAATGCGAATCCCAACGCCGTATCGGCAATTAGTCTGGAGGATAAGAGTATTCCCTAGCACAGTATGTCCTTCGCACAAATTCTTCCTGGCCCCATCCACAAAAATAGCTTCTCGCTATTCGGTAGAGCAGAATCGCAGAAAGCTTTTATATCAAATCTACAAGTAATCGTCGAGGTCGAGGCGGGGTGAGTTGTGCTGCACGCGACCTAATAATCATCACATTAACAACTCCAATCCTCTCACACGTACCCATGACATCTCAGCTACCACAAACAGAGAACACTCACTGATATTCTACAAGTCAATTCCCTTCAAATCCATTAAACCACCAAGCGCGACAAATTTTCAATATCAACTTGGCAATCACAATACTCAACCAACAAATGATCGAATCCGTTTAACCGTAACCAGCAGTCCCGAGTCGTCTTCCTTTTCCCTTTCGATTCCCCGGTTGACATCAAATTCTTCTGATATGTTGTCACGTAGGACGAACAAACCGTTCGAAATGGCACTAGAATCACGTTTAATTCTCGCGGAACTCAAAGTATTTCAAACTGTGTATTAAGACGGATAATGTTTGACCAGTGAGGTGTGGTGGTAGTACATCCATCAATCGCCAGACAGACTATTGTTATCGCGATAAGAGTTGCAAGAGGTATAGGCTATTTCCGTAAGCTTAATATGTTACAGGGAATAAAATATCCTTGGCTTCGTTGGGTGTGGCGGTTACAATATATTGATCTTGATACGAGTTTTTAGAAGTAGTTTCACTGGGAGAGAATTGTTTGTTTCGCATCCAGAAAAGAAAATGCAGTTGAACATCTCTTTGAAATCTTGATAAGGCTACACCAAAAAATTTATTCATTTACAAGACGAATCAAATCATATCAGACTTCCCCTCGTCCCACGTTTGCTTTACTGTCTGACAGGCGCGCTACCCACCTCTCTGTGGATCAATAGATATCAAACATCAAATGAATGCTCGAACGGTTGTTTGGTTAATCAACTCACTAAGACTTGTGTGAATAAGTTCGCCAACGCATGCTTGCTACCGTGCAAGTCATGCAGACAGAAAATACTACTCTAGTAACATGAATCACAACATTACAACATGCAAAGATTGGATCGAGAGATATCTTTATGAATTTTGGTATTAAATTTTTGTAATCGCAATCATTGTGCTAAAACTTTGAAATGGTTTTCCTCATCTAGTCTGTATGGTACTAACTCATTGTACTAGAGATGCCATGCTAGACCATCGAACTGTAATAACTCATGCCGCATGATGGACCATATAAACAGGAGATCCACCAAGGCCATCGCTCATTGCAAGTAAATCAGTAACCCTCTAATGCTCCAAAAGTCTCAAGGAACCTTGTACCACAACGTTCTCCAAAATGGATCCGGGAGGAACGTCGATAGTTTGTCCTTCGGTTGCTACAATAATAACAGTACCCTTGAGAGTGACACCTCTGCCGAGGTTGACAGCTCCAGTGATGGTTAAGTGATCAAGCTCAAGAATTCTTGGGATGCTGCTGATACGCTTTTGGAAATCAGATACCTTCTTGAAGTCGTTACCGAGCTTGATCAAAGGAGCTGGACCGAAACGGCTGGGGTCAATTTGGAGTTGACCGTGCTTCAAAGAGTACAAGTCCGACTTAACGAGCATCAAATCAGAGCAGGTCTTGACTGGCAAGAAACGTCTACGGGGAACGTTGACACCGTGAGCGTTGTGGAAATGACGGATAGCAGCTCCGACGGCAGTCTCAAGTTGAACGATCGAGACATCAGACTCGCCCTTCTTATCAGCTGGGATGGATTTGTTGTTTGGGATGATCTCCATCTCGAGCTCGTTGTTCTCAACAATACGCTTAACAGCTTGCAAGTTCAACCAGATGTTGTTGGTGTTGAAGTACTTGAATTTCTTGATAGACTTGAACTCGTTGGTGTGCTCTTTTGGTACTTGAGCAATTTCGAGGAGACGAACGGAACCTTCGTAATCGATGATGGTACCACCCTTAACATCGGCCTTGGTCTTGTCGGTCAACTCCATAATATATTCAGACTTGGTCTCAACCATGTGTTGCAAGATGCGGAGATCAACAACGGCACCCAAGTTGTCAACGTTGGAAAGGAAAACAATCTCAACACCTCTCTTGATGAGGGTATCGAGAATGCCGGAGTTGTAGAGAGACTCGAAAACATCTCCGTGTCCTGGTGGGTACCAGTCAGAAATTTGGGAATCGAATGTCTTTGGTGCAGGAAGGAGGGAGTCCTTCAAGATTCTTGGGTATCGAGATTGGTTGAATGTAAGAATGTCAATGTTGTGACCCTCGTATTTCTTGATGATGTTTGAGGTATCGTCATCAGTGTTGAACGAGTTCATCAAGACGAAAGGAACGTTAACGTTGTATGTGCGGTTGAGGTATTCGATTTGTCGGACAGAAAGATCGAGGAAGGACATGCCATCACGGACTTCGATAACTGATTTTGGACCAACACAACCCATAGAAGTACCAAGACCTCCATTGAGCTTGAGAACAGCCAATTTGTTAAGGAACCCAACCGACTCGGAGTTTGCAAGCGAATTGTAATCGACGACTTGGTTTTGGGCAGGTGGGGCAATACGATCCCAGTCACTGTTGTTCTGTTAGACTAAATGTCTCTTGTACATCTGAGATGCTGATACTCACAGTTGGTTTCCCTTTGCCTTGTCGTTCAAGTATCTGCGGAAAAGAGCGAAGAAGTTGTCCATCTCGGTCTCGAAGAGCTATAGGGCGTTAGATATGTGTGATGCGTCTGCGGGAACGTGCTTGAATATACCTTCTTCTCTTCGGGGTCCTCAACGGTGTCTGCGAGGTTGTTGAGAGCATTTCTCATCTGACTGGCAGCTACAGATGTTGAGGTGTTCTCGAAAGCCTGATTGTTTGTTAGTTAGAGCTAAAGAATCGATAGTTGGAGGTATGCTAAGATCTTGAGACTCTGGTATGAAAGAAAGGGAGATGGCAGGATGTAAGTCAAGAAGAGGTGGATTTAGATGGAATGTCGAGTCGTGTTCGATGTCTTTTCCAACACTGCTGTGGTGAAGAACCTTTGCCCCTTCCGAGTTGGCTCAAACATGCATGCAAACTCCAGGCAAATACAAACACCACTCTTGAATCATTTGAAGACTTTGTAATTTCCGACATCCACTGGATGATACGAAAACTCATCTCCTGCCATTATCTGTGTAAAAGCAAAATCCCATTTGAAGTATTGTATCTTGCAGAAGGGCATTTTGTTTGTTTAGACTAGAAGATTCCCACTTCTGACACCTTGAAGGGTGAAGATGCGTGGTCTTTTGTAGGTGGTGCATAACGAGAGAGATGGTGAAAATTGACATTTCATGAGAGGACAGCACATACCATGTGTGATTGTGTCTTTCCATGGTGCTTGCGGGCGAATTCGCCATTATCGTTTGGAGATAAGCTCGAAGGCTTGAGGTGGGAAGGGAGAGCGCTTTTCAATGCTTGTGCCATCTTGTATTATGATTTTGAAGATATTCGAAGATTCGTAAAAAGAAGTAAATGGATGGGTATGTTGTGGAAGAGGAGAAGCAATCTAAGCTTTCTATGAGAGGAAAGAGAAGGTCAGTTAGGCGATGTGATCAACACGGTGAATATTTAGCACGACAGGGAAATCTGGTATGAAGTTGTTGTGCCCCGCCAAAGCCAAGGAAATGATGATTCGGTCACTTACTTTCAAATTTCCAGCAGGTCTTTACACGCAATAAACACACGAAAGAAGATATCAGGTCAAGGAAGCAAGTCTGTCGAGATGGAAATGTTGTCTCCTTTATATACGTTGAAATGGTTAGCGGTCGTAGTTTACATAGGGAATGAGTTGGTTCCTTTTAGCTTTGAAATTCGGACGTGAAATAATATAAATTATGTTCGGGGAAAGGTTGAGGGGCTGGGCAGTTGATTACTAGGTAGGGAGGTAGGGAGGGAGGGAGGTAGGGAGGTAGGGAGGTCGGTAGGTTGGTGGTTAGGTGGTTAGGTGGTTAGGTGGTTTGGTGGTTTGGCTAATAAGAGGGGTGCTTTCATACTGGGATTATCACCATTTTCGTTCTCATTCGTCCCCATCCATCCCCATCCATCCCCATCCGTCCCCATTCGTCCTCCCGATGAAATGTTGTTACATCTACCACCCAAAGAATCCACGGTTTTGCATGAACAGATTCATGTTGTGGCAAGAAATCCTGAGGACATGGATCAATGAACGAATTCAACAATTACAGATCATCTAGAATTGCATGTGGTATGAATATCATTGGTGTTGCTACGACCCTTTTCCCGGTTTTTCATCGTGGTACATGCTCTATGGAAGAAACATGTACACTCTCATGTGTTTGTTGAAGCTTCGACGCAGTACTCAGTGCCATATTTCAATCGTCACCAACGTTAGGTACCAAGTTTCTATATTTAACAGCCACCTAACCTCTTGGTCCATATTGACCCGGTCCGGTTTTACCCAACTATGCTGTTATGGAAGATTCATCGCGGTCAGATATCTCCACCATGGATCTAAGACCCAAACTATCATTTTTACTATGGAGAGCTTCAGCTCTAGATTCCACTTTAGCTTCTTCTTTGGATTTTCCGTGCTCTCGGTCGAAGAGAAAAGGGGTTCTTGCGACCCTGGCGAAAAGCCAGACACCCGAATGTCATTCTGGAAAAAAAGGAAAATCGACTTCAAGACAACATGTCACTGTTTTGACTTTTCCAAGACTATCAAACATCGATTTGAATCAAACCCCGATTTTATCTCAAAGTTTTAAGAAGGTCGAAATGTGAAAATCGATTGTTGTTGAATTTTGAAATCGTAATACTTA